AAAAAAAAAAAAAAAAAACCAGGAGAGAGCCACAAGCCAAATTCGAGTTCATTCTTGCGAGTAAGGCGTCCGGAAGGCTAGGAAATGCACGCCTTTAACTTATTCGGCAATCGATACGATGATTTATATAGGAACGTCGTGCGAAGAGTAGATAAAAATATAATTGTATACGATTAATCGAGTAGATAGTATAATGATCACGAAACATTTGACAGAAGGGGAAGAAAAAAAAAAAAAAAGAAAAAGAAAAGAAAAGAAGAAAAAAATACGAGCGTAGCAATTATCTTGAAATCGAATCGAATCACGCATATGATATTGCACAGTAATACGCTATATCGAACACTTAAAGTTCTATGAGAGCTTCTTTCAATCAACAATTACGCAACAATAATTGTCGACTTGATTATTATTATTGTTATTATTATCATTATTCTTCTTCTTATTATTCCTATTATTATTATTATTATTATTATTAATATATCGAGCATATCGTAGCACAACTTCTCTAATATTATTTTCTATAGATGTAGATGAGACATGACGTTGCAAATATGTTGTCCTTTGATAAAAAGGGAACGTACTGTCAATATCTGGTAGGATACTGATGCCACACTACGCATATGTGTGTGCATTGCCGCCTAATCGAGGCTATAATACAAAAATTTAACTGTGATAAAAGTTCGTTCGATTTTCTCGAGAGAAGTAAACTTAAAAAAAAAAAAAAAAAAAAAAGCAGTATATCAGTTGACCCGTACGCGTGCTCATACGTCGCTAATTGTATCTGTGAGATAAGAACGAAACTGAATAACGTTTTTTCGAAATTGGAACTCGCGAAAACAGACGCGTACCATCGGGAACAAATGTACAGAGAGCCGAAATTCGATCTCGACGGTGGAAAATGAGATTTCAAATTCCGTATCGCAGCGTAGAGAAAGCTTCAATTCAGCTGCAAACAATATTGAGATTATAATATCATATCGACATAATATGATATCGTGAATACGTTCATAGTGATTGTCGCATAGTTGTATAGCAGCAATTTATTGTTCATACCATATCGTAGTAATACCTGCCGATCAAACTCTCGGCACTGACGTTACACCGAACAAAGTCTCTCTTGTAATATGCAGAAGGTACAACATTATTTTCGTAGATTCGCGTCTTCTCTGTTAATAATAGGCAGTAGTTTCGTTCGTCGATTGATACGATCAACAATTCCCTTTTGTTGATGCCAAACAATGCGCGACGAAAGTACACGAACTGAACTAATTTCCGTCATTGTCGAAGCTACGATCGATTTGTTTTACCTTCGATTTATTTGAAACTTATTTC